ACTCTTTCTTCACTCTTGTTCTCCTGCAAAACAAAAATAATATTAGATCAGATACTTGCTACTGTGGTTCAGAAAATAATATTAAACAGCTTGTTGAGCTCCTACAATAATCTCAAATGTCCCCAGAAATTAATGATCATTTAAGTGAATGAAAAACAATCTACACCCAGTTAGATCTTCAGTTAGTTGAAAGAGTATTCCAGAGTCCTAGTTTTTCCACAACTGTCAGATCATCCCCACACCACTGTAACTCTTCTACTTTTACAGAAAAGGACCAGGGAGTTATAGTGGACAATAAGTTGAAGAGGAGCCAACAGTGTGCCCTTGTTGCAAAGAAGGCTAATGGCATACTAGGATACATTAGTAGGGGTGTTGCCAGCAGATCAAGGGAAGTGATTATTCCCTTCTATTCAGCACTGATGAGGCCACATCTAGAGTACTGTATCCAGTTTTGCTCCCCCACCACCCCCATAGAAAGGATGTAGACAAATTGGAGAGGGTCCCAGTGGAGGGCAACAGAAGTGGTTAGGGTGCTGGGTCACATGGCTTATGAGGAGAGGCTGCAGGACTTTGTCAATTTTCTGTTCTCCAAATTAAATGAGAGGGATTTAATAGTAGCCTTGAGCTACCTAAAGGGTGGTTCCAAAGAGGATGGAGCTAAACTGTCTTCAGTGGTGACAGATGATAGAACAAGGAGCAATAGTTTGAAGTTGCAGCAAGGGAGGTTTAGGTTAGATGTTAGGAAGAACTTTCACATTAGGAGGGTAGTGAAGCACTGGAACAGGTTACTCAGAGATGTTATGGAATCTCCATCCTCAGAGGTTTTTAAGACCCAGCTAGACAAAGCCTTGGCTGGGATGCTCTAATTGGGGATGGTCCTGCTTTGAGTAGGGGGTTGAACTAAATGACCTCCTGAGGTCCCTTCCAGCCCCAATTCTGTATGATTTTAAGTTGGATCTTACCTCTAGTACTCTGACTTCAGAGCATCGCCTTGCCAGTTGGCGAATTAGAGAGTGGGCTTCAGGCAATAAAGGTTTTTCAAGACATGCCAGCAGAGCATAAAGCCATCTACCCTACATATATTAAAGTACAAAAAGGGAAAATTTATCAGCTTATAATTAAAAGTGACTGGTTTACATACCACCATTCCCATGCACTAGGCTTTTCTATTCCATAGCAGGGCTGTCCCAACTTCTCAGCACCTGGGGGCTGCACACTGAAAGAGCAAACCAAAGCACCTTCTGACCCACATCCCACCCAGTGCTACACAGTGCACACAGGCAGCCACCCCCACCCCGCTCCATACAACCCCTTCCTCCCTTGCCTGCAGGTTCCCACCCTGCTAAACCATGCCTATGGGCTACCAGTCGGACAGTCCTCTCCTGTTACACCACACACCTGAGCTACTGTTCCACTGTACATGGGCAGCACCCCTCAACTCACCAGCTGCAGGCTTCCCTGCATCATAGGCTCCTGCATGTTGCACCACCCCTGGGACAGGCACAGGAAGTGGGAGCCAGAGGGAAAGCCCAGAGACTGGCTGCTAAGCCAGCAGCAACAGGGAGAATAGATTAGTCCCTTGCAGGTTGCTTATGGCCTGTAGGTTGTCAGTTGGACACCCCAGATCTTTGGGATGCTACTGGAACTAGATGCTGGTCTCATGCACAAGTCGTACGCATTATGAAATAACATCCACACAGGGAGGGGACACTGAGGGTCCCCAATCCCCTGCAAAAAAATGCAGGATAAGCTATTCCTATAACCATTCCAGACAGATCCCTATCTGGCCACTTCTTAAGACCTAATAAAGGAGATTCCTTAACTTCCGTTGTCAGTTTGTTCCATTGTCCGTTTGTTCCATTGTCCTACTGCTCTTAAGGATTTCTCCCTAAATTTGTTTTTCTACAATTTACATGTTACCTTACATCCTGTCCTCTGTAGTCAGGCAGAACAGAGGCCCTCTTCATGGCAGCCTTTCAAATATTTTTAAACGTTTCATGCCACCCTGTAATCTTGTTTTCTCCAGTCTATAATTCACCCACATATCAGTCTTTCCTTAAATGGCTTGCATTCCAACCCCCTTATCGTCACCACTCATTTTTTGACTCTGACAGTTTTTCTAGATGTTTCCTAAAATGCAGTTCCCTGAACAGGACATAATATTGTAGATGGGGCCTAACCAGGGTTGAAGAGTGGCATTACTGTCTCTTGTAAATTACATACAATACTTTTGTTAATGCAGCTCAAAATTTTTTTCTTTTTTTTCTAAAGTGGTTAGAAAATGATTTTAGAAAGACTTCTTTTAATTCCAATTAAGTGCCCTTTACTACATACTTTAGAGGCAAGTCACTATTGTTACGGAAATCAGTACGTTTCATGGGGCCTTTCCAAGGATTGGCTGAGGGCATCTAATGGCGAAAACCTTTTCAATTTCATTAAGTCATCTGGAGAAAAACATCTACTCAGAAATAAATCTAAAAACAAATAAATTATTCCTATCTTCCTATTGCATCACTGATCAGTTCTAATACAACAAGTGTCCATAAACAAAACCGGGAACCATGTTCAGTCTGAGGACTCCAAAATTTCTAATAATTTTCATCCTGATAGTAGTATTAAAAGATCAAGTAGCAAGGTTTACTGCATTCATTTGATACAAATTTCTATAGTTAAAGTTACCTTTACAAAACTTAATTTTTTTCTTAAAGTTAGTTATATTCTTCAGGCTTAATTTTGGGCAAAAGCTTCTATATTTTTAGAAAGATTGAGGATGAAAGGCTAGAAAGCATTGGAGTTCATTTCAAAGCCTAATGAGGCATTGTGCAAACATTAGAGGAAATAGCTGAAATATGCAAAAAAAACCCCCAACAGAAAAACCCTCACAAACTAACCCCCCCGCAAAGCCCTGTTAAAACAAACAAAAAAAACCCTACAGGAAACCAAGTCTCAAGCTGTGCAACCTTCATTTTACTATGCAGTCAATGAAAAGTCCTATTTTTGAATGTGATAGGAACCTGTAACACAGGAGCTTCAATCCTGAACAGTGCAGCTCTTCCCATTGCTGTAGTGGAAAGAAATGAAAGGGTATGCTGGCTATAGTTGCAATTTTGTTTTGTAGTACGTGTGTGTGAACTGAAAAGGAGGGCACAGGATGTGCAATTGATGTACATATATGGAAAATAAGATGCAAAACACACTGGAGTCTGAGGTTGTTTCAGGAATAGATTCATTAGAAAGAAATACAAGTAGTTGTTTTAATAGAACTCATAGGAAAAATAATTGCAGACATAATGAGAATAGGTGGCATTTCCCAAAAAGTTTTGTTCATTTTTAAGACCGAGTGACTCATGAATTACAGCAGTATTTTAATCTAAAAGATGGCAGCAATATACAGAATGCCCTCACATGAAACATATTTATATTACTTTAATAGCAATAGCAAGTACAATGAGGTTTGTGCGTCCTTCTCCTTGTATCATTTTGATAGCGCATAATTTTCTCAAATTCATGTGTAGGTAGACAGAATAAATTAAAATTACCAGCTCTGGAGTAAACTCTTTCTCCCCAAACCAGTTAATCAGATATTCCAGGACACTAGTTACAGTTGCCTTTCAAAGACAGGAAAAAAGAACATGACATTTGAAAGAGTTGCTGTGTAAAAACAGCTATTGCACATATTTGATGCTTTTACAGTGTAATTAGATTAGAAGACTTGAACAAGTGACTCCACTTTGCATAGTGACATAACATTTATTTCACTTCTACAGTGCATCTAGACAGGGCGTTTATCACACGCCATTATTACACATACAATAGGAAATTTGGTAACAGCAGTTTCTAAAAGGGACTGAGATTAAATAGTAAGAAAATAAAAATGCCCAAAGTGGGACAGAAAGCTGAAATAATTAGAGGCCTGGGAAAATGTCCATATTAGTCTGAATAAATTTGGATTACTCAGTACTGAGAGACTAAGGCAAAAAAATCAGGTGCCTTGTCTCATTATACGGGAAAACAAGGGCACATGCAATCACATTTAAAGAAAACATTTAAGTTGATAAAAGAAAATCAGTTACACACAACAAACAAGTTAGTGTGTGTAACTCAAACTAAGTTAGCTGTATTTGGAAGTATTAACAGGAGTAAAGGTGCACTGATACATCAGTTTGATATCGGATCAGCACTGAAATTGATTGCATTGGAAATCGGCCTGATGCGGCTGATCATTTGGCCGATAAATGCTCACGCATGTGCACAGCTGTAGTGCAGCACGTAGGCAGCGAAGAGCACAGCCCAGCAGCTTGGAGAGTTGCATGCAGCTGGTAAGTCTGTTGTGGTGGAAGGGGAACATGGGGGGGCAGATCAATGCCCCTCTTGGTGAGGGAGGGAGGGGCTGGGACAGGCCCTGCTGGGGCGGGGTAGATTGTAGGACTGAGCTGCAGCTTGTCCGGGAGACATGGGGTGGGAGGGGCAGCTCCCGCCGCTGTGTGCACTCCAGGAGGGCAGGGGGGGGATACGGGTGGGAGGGCCAGTGCCCCGGATCTGCATGGGGGGCCTGTGGGCTGGGGCTGTGCCAGGCTCTTCCTGGCATGTGGGGTTGCGCTCCCAGTGCGTGGGGGCTATGCTCGGGGCGGGCAGTGCCCGGAGGGGCCTACGGCAAATTTTGGGGTGGCTGAAGCCCCCCTAGCTCCCTCCCAGTGCTGCCAGCCACCCTAAGCGCAGCCCCCACACACTGGGAACACAGTCCTGAGTGCAGTCCTGCAGCCCCCACACACCAGGAAGAGCCCAGCACAGCCCTGGCCCCAGCTCAAACCCCCTCCCCTAATGCAGATCCAGGGCACATCCCCATCCCCCCAACCTGGGTGCGTGCAGTGGTGAGAGCTGCCCCCCAGACAAGAAGCAGCTCAGTCGCATGCCTCGTTCTGCCCCAGTGGGCAGTGCCTGCCCCACTCCCTCCCTCACTGTGGGGGGTGGTGATCTATTCTGCCCCCAACACCCCTTCTCTCCCCCTCCCTGTCCACCGCAACAGACTTACCAGTTGGATGCAGCTGTATTGGAAATCGGATCCACATTAGCTGATATGCCTCCTTAAAAGTGAGCTAGCAGTATCAGCCCCCAAAATTCTGTATAAGTACACCCCTAGAGTTAAGCAATTTTTTAAACATATGGATTAAGAGAAGTTATGCCAGAGAACTTGCATATTATCAGCAATTATTGCTAAACAGTTCAAAATAGGATGGATTTGATTTAAATCACTGGTCAAGAAGCCTTGATTTAATCACTGTTATCTACAAAAGTGCATTCTTGTCATTTGATATCCTTTATTCATTTAACTTCTTGAAACTTTGCACTTTTAGAGAAAGGCAAGGGCTTGATTATCTACAAAAACCTGCAGAGAGACTACAGTGCCGATGAGTAGGTAAGCAGGTCTGTTCTCTTTCATCTCCATAGACTGCTATTAACAAGGATGTTATCTCTGGAGACACAAATCCACTGTTTGAGAACTGAAACTAAGCATCACAGATGCTTAATGGTATCTTCCAGACTGAGCACTGAGTCCCATTGGGAAGAGTGGTTTTCTTTAAATCTTTACAAATCTATAGCAGAGCCTCTTGGAACCTCATAAGACTGGACCCCTAATATAGTCCATGGCCTGTTGTGACTTATTCATAAACTTTTTCTAAAAAGGTTACATGAATATATTGTCTCAAATAGTATATAATTAGAAGTTATAATCCCTATTCCCTGATGATATCTTTAAGCTTTAACATATCTTAAAACTATATTTATATAGGGTTTTTTTTTTAAAGGCATCATATATATGATTAAATCTAAAAATGTGATTCAAATAAAAATCCAATTACATTTTTTAAAATGATTGATTTTTATCCACCCTGGTTCAAAATTAAAAAATACATCTATTTAAGTAAGTGAGAAACAGACAGTTGTTTGAAACAGTGCAACACTTGTTTCAGGCACTGCCAATGAAATAATTAGCCATATTCTCTTTCACACTATGATTCTAATAGATGAGGTATATCTACATTTGATAGGTAAATTATTAAAAAGCAACCCCCCTTCCTCCCCCAAACATTTTTGCTAAGTACAAATAAACTTACTTGATTCATTCGGCTAACAATACTTAGCAAAGGAGGAAAGCCCATCTGAAAGAAAAGCCAGATTGGAATTGTAACATACAAAGTAAAGACATTTCCCAAATAAAGTTTTAAGGTTTATATTAGAACAAAGTCTGAACAGGACACACATCCATTTATTTTTTCAAGCAATGTTTGTTCAAAACATCTAGTCTTAACTACCATCTTCAAAATGCCAGGTAGAATAAATAATGGTAACAGCGATAATGTAGCAAAATAGTTAATTTAAAAGCCTCTACATACTGGGTGAGATGAGGCATCAGATTTAAAAGGACCTAAACTTAATTTCTTTCAGATCTCACCATCAATTATATTCTGAATTTATAGAAACACTAATTTTTTTTGCTCTCTTACTGTTGTTTCAGGGGCATGGCAAGAGCATCACAAAACCTGGTTAGGCCCCAACACTTTTTTTCCCTCTATGTACGCATGCCTTCCAGGGCCTACTCTAGCAAAGCTCTTATTTATTGGTCAAGTTGTTTCAAGGGTTGCATCTGATCATCAAAACATTGAAGCTGGCTATGCTCCAGTACTGTTACATGCACAAAAGACAGCCTATAATCTTGTATCAATTAACAATAATCCAAAAGAGTTACTTTATCTCATTTGGAAACTTAGGTGCAAGTCCAAGCTCCGATTTATCTAGGGTCCCACTTTGTATAGTAGGGAATTAGGTAGCAAGCTCATTAGGCAACCTGCTTTCAACCTGTCAGTTTTACTGACCTCAGCCCCAGTATATGTCACAGTAGGGCAACTTCTGAAAGATTTTAATGAAGTATAATAACCAAGAACTAAGTAGCCTACCTGTATATAATCAATTCCTAGATTTTCATTATCAGCTACTGTAACTGTTTCTGAATATGCTTTTTCACCCAGACAAAACTTTTTCCAGCCTTCTTCATCTTCTGATTTTGGCTGAAAAAGTCAGTGTAGATTAGTTTTCACAGGCAGCAAAAACACTGAAAGACTCAAATCTCTTAAAAAAAAAAAAAAAAAAAAAAAAAAAAAAAAAATCAAGAAAGAATGGATAAATTGTAGATCAGGATTCACAAGATGAACACAATTACTACAGCATGCCCGCCATCAGGATACATTAACAATTAAAAAAAAAATTGTTTCCTAAAGTGTAATAAAAATTCTACTGACCATTGTAACATTGCTGTCCAAATTCTGTGACTTCCAGTGGTTTCTGTGCTTGTTCAGACTCTAAAGGATAACAATAAACACACTTTATTTTATATTTCATGGTTATGTTATTCTAAATCAAAACTGTTTTCATCTTCCATGTGCTTTAATAGTTCTTCATAACCATTAAAAACACCTGTTGAAGGAGTATTTTTTTAGGAAAATGTTAGATTTCACATTGTTGTGAATGAATGAATAACTGGCCAAATATTTCATGCATTTCTTTTAATGTAATTCAGATTAAGTAGTAAACTCTGGTTAACAATTTGTAATGATCTATGGAAGGAAAAATACACAGATTCTTTAATCTACTTAAACTTGATTCTAAAGATAACCAAAAAGATAGTAATTAAAGCAAGTTCCATCCATTTAAACCCAATTGCTGGACTGGAAAGAGAACATTTCAGCCTCAATTTTAAGAGTTCACCAACATGTCTGTATTAGTATTTGACCCAATACTTTCTGTTTTAGGACAAAACTTAGATTCTGTGTAGTTAACTACTTGATAATATTCCTTTTAACATTAAGGAATTATTTTGTCCCTTATGCTGGTTGAGGATAATTCTTTTTTCCAAGACTTTCTTTGGAACTCTATTTTCAGGGTAAATTAACTTTACAAACAAACAACCACATGACCATATGATGGCAGAAAGCCCTCAAGAGATTTTCTAATGTGAAACAGAACTGCTTTATCTATTATTTTCTTCCATCAAATGTTAAACCCCACAAAACAACTAGATCATCCCTCTCCCCGTAAGAAAAAATCCACCAAACTATACTGTACTAGTTTGAAAAAACACTGTTCTTTACCTGACGAACAGCTGAAAAGTGGACCACTTGTTGCTGCTGCCATTTGAGAGTTGGAGAATATCCTTCAGGGGCAGGTTGGCATCCTGAGAGCTAATAAAGCACAGGCAATAACTGTTATGAAAAAAGGAGTAGAAAAAGAATCTAAGCTGACTGAGTCTAAAATTAAGAATTTCTACTTGAAGCATGCAAAACTAACGAAATCAAGACAAGTTCTGCTTTGATATGGCTCCTTTTTGAGACTACGAAGTTAATCCTCCCAACCACTGAAGCCATAATTCTTAATAAAAACAGAACCTCATCAACAAGAAGGTTCCACATTCTATACAAAGTCTAAAAAATGTGTTTTGACTACTAAATGTTCAGCTGTACTGAAGACATTTGCAGTGTTGCCAACTCTCATGATTTTTGGCGTTGTTCTTAAAGTCTACACTTTGGGAATGTGAAAAACTTAGCTCTTTCTTTTATATATGTATATAACTATATATAAAAGAAAGTGCTAAGTTTTTCACATTCCTGAAGCGTAGACTTGAAGAAAAATGCCAAAAATCATGACAGTTAGCAACAATGCATTTGGTGTCCTAAATAGATCTGCTATTTAAATTAAGGGGTATTATCCAGCCACAGAAGGAGTTTTCAAGAAATAAGATGGAAGAAAAATTACATTTCCAGCTTACCATATACAAGCACCTGAATTTGTAATAAGAATTTGGGGGATGAAACCACTTTTCAGTGTTTATAGTTAAAACATTTATTAAGGGAATATAAATATCCTTCCATGTGTATTTGAAAGTAGTACCATAAAAAAAAAATGACACAGAAGAATCCAAGATTATTATTCACCTTTGAGCCATGGAGTAAGTTGACACTGAAAGCCAGCCTCTAACAGTGATGAATCAGAAAACAAATTCTCCTCAAGACAAAATTACCTAAGTCATGCTGAAGTAGACAGAACAAAGATCTGGGGGATATATAAACACATTTACTCATATCCAAGACAAGTTTTTTTCTCCATTCAACACGAGGGAAAAAAAACCCTTATCTTAGATACAAATATGGGTCTGGGGCAGGTGACTGCTGCCCCTCGGCCTCTGGGCTAGAGCTTTTGCTGCTGCCTGGCTGGGCGAGGGTGGCTTATATGGTGGAGGAGGGGGCACAATGCAGGGGGAGCACAGGGAAGACTGTACAGCAGGGGTAGGCAATGTTTTTTGGCTGGAGTGCTGAAAAACCCACAATGCCTACCTTGGAAGATACTGGAGTGTCAGTATGCCAGAAAAACAAAACGAGGGCAGAGGGTACATAGCAGGATGCCCTGCTTGTGCTCCTTGCCCCCCACCCAAAGCCCCTGCTCCCCAGCCCTGCTTGTACCTCTGCTGCCCATTGCCCCCCAGCCCAGGCTCCGTGGCTATCAGCAGCTACCCAGAACCTGGACCAGCCGCAGCCAGGAGTCTGCAAACAGCTGCTGCCTCCCAGACCCAGCCCCGGGCTCCGGGGAGGCAGCACATACCGGCAATGCTCCCCGCTGTGCTGCCCTCACACACGCTGCACTCCCGGCCCTGCTGCCCTCCCGAGCACATTGTGTGCGACCCAGAGTGGCAGCACAGGGAAGCTGCCTGCTGCTGCAAGCTCCGTGCTGCCTGGGTCACACTTCCCCTGCACGGGAACAGTGTGAGCAGCACACAGGGTTGAGCCCCTTGCTGCTACCCCCACCTGCAGGGTAAGTGTGGCCAGGGCAGTGGGGAGCTTGGAGTGGCAGGCAGCTTTCTGCACCCCCTGCTGCACCAGGTTTCATATGCTGCTCTGCAGAACTGGTGGCAAGGGCAGCACAGTGGGGAGCATTATCAGTATCTGCCATCTCCCTGGAGCCCAGGGCTGGATCTGGGGCTGGATCTGGGGGAGGCAGCAGCTGTTTGTAGCCTCCTGACTGCAGCTGACCCAGTTTCTGGGTAGCTGCTGATAGCCATGGAGCCCAGGCTGCTTGCAGCAGGGCTTCCATCCTCTCAGCCAGATTCTGGGAGCAGCCCAGGCTCCATGGCTATCAGCAGCTACCACGAACCTGGGCTGGCTGCAGCCGGAAGGCTGCAAACAAGTGCTGCCTCCCCGCGCCAGCCCTGGCTGTCTCCCAGCTCCAGGAAGACAGCAGGTGCTGGCACTGTGCCCGTTGGGGCCAGGGCCATGGGCAGCGTGGGACTGGGGCTGGGGCCCACTGGCAGTGAACTGCTGGGGCTGTGGGGCCAGGACCACCCAGCAGCATGGGACTGCGGCTGGAGCTGGGGCCAGGGCCCACTGGCAGCACGGGGCTAGGGCTGCAGCCCGGCAGTCACTAGTGCCGGGATGCGGCCAGTGGCAGCACAGGGCTGAGGCTGGGGCTGCGCAGGGCTGGGGCCTTCGGCAGTGCCGGGATGGGTCTGGCTCCCATGCAGGCCCTGGCCACATCCCGATGCTGCCGACGGTCCTGACCCGGTAGGGGGACTGTGCTGGGGCTAGCGGGGGGGGGGGGGGGCGGGGCC